TCCCTTGTTTTAATATTATTTTAGTGATGTTACACTATATATAAAAATTACACTAAAATAAAAATGGAGGCTCAATAATATTTTAAGACCCAGTTGACTGTGCACTTTTTCATCAAAAACAAGAACTTTTTCGTTTTCAAGTTGTTTGTCCGACCTTTTGAAAATTCGAGACTTACGTGACTTATACATACTTATAATACGTGATTTGAGCAAGGGAGGAGGTTTCAGTGTTAACGAACTGACACAAATGCGCCAAGAGATAGTAACTTTCTGATTACTCACCGCATAACCGCTTTAATATAACAATTGTCACCATCTTATACAATATTTAAAAATGAACGCGCACATCATTTCCATTACCAATATTAATTGAAATATCTTAATATTTCAGGGCCACGTTCCATTGTTTGTCAGTGCTACGTGTGGTACTACAGTTTACGGAGCATATGACCCTGTTGATGCCATCGCTGATCTTTGTGAAAAACATGATATTTGGCTTCATGTTGATGTAAGTACAATTTCTGACGTCATAAGTAACCTGTCCGAATCTGATAGTTTTCTTTTAATACTGGCATATATTTATAGTCAAATTTATAGATATATTGTACATAGGTCAGTAGGCATTACCTACTAGTGACTATATCAATCTAGTTCAAATCAGATTTTATTGCGTTTTCCCTATTTCCTTTTATTTTTTTAATTGTTCATTTTTTGATTTTGTCATATTTTTTTCAAATTTATTTTCTTAATTCTATTTTTCAATTTTCTGATTGCGAAAGCCCAAAGATTTGAACAACTTCCATAGAAGATCTCGTTCGTGAGATCTTGTGAACCAGTCATCTCTTATATACGGAGATGATGGTGGTATGCCATGCGTGATTGTCTTTGATAATTATGTATACACTATATTAATTGCATCTGTTAAACTATGGACATACAGGGGAAATCAACACTATAGGCTATTGTATAATATAATTTTAGGCATGTTGGGGAGCATCTGCCCTGATGTCACAGAAATGGCGCCATCTTCTCCATGGAGTGAATCGCTCTAATTCAGTGGCGTGGTGTCCACATAAAATGATGGGAGTTCCGTTTCAGTGTTCAGCATTCTTAGTGAGAGACCACGTAAGTATGCTTGGTAATCTCGTGTGAGAGACCATGTAAATACGCATGCATATATATATATATATATATTTTTGTTCTATTCTATTCTTTTTTTAATTTTTTTAAATATTTTTCGTGCCAGGCGACAGTTCTCGACACTGAGTGTCACTGTTGTCTCTCCTGCTTTTTTTTCTGTATGTGCAAATTGCAAGTGCTCGTGACGACACATAGTGCATTTTGCCACAGAAGTCATATTCATGTTTGTGACTACATGACAGGGCTGTGTGTTCATCTCTCTGTCAAATGGCAATTTGTAATGCGCTATCATGGTGTCAACCAGGCGTCAACCAGGCCAGGTCGAACACAAGCACCCGCGGACCTTAACCAAGGTTCCCCCAAAGTCGCATTCGTTAGTGAATGATTCCCGGCCTGTGCCACACTCACCTAGGGTAGCGGTCGACCCTTAGATGTTCAGCCTACGGTAGGATTTGAACTTGGGTCTACCGATCATGAGTCTGATGCAGCAACCACTATGCTACCAGTGAACAAAATTTCTTTATCGTTCACTGTCATACCTTTGTTCCTATTATAATACACATTTTATTTTTCAGATTGCATTAATGCACAATGTTCATTGCTCAGGTGCCACATATCTTTTTCAACAAGATAAATTCTACGACTTATCCTACGACACTGGAGACAAAGTTATACAAAGTGCTCGTAAAGTAGATGCATTCAAGTTGTGGCTCATGTTTAAGGCTAAAGGATATATCGGATTTGAGCAAGAGATCAATATCAAATTTGCTAATTCGAGGTAAATTATAATTGCTAAAGCATGTGTACTACAATAATAAATTACTGTTATGCCAACAACTATTTTATATCATTTGACCTGATGTGTGGCATAATGGTGTACGCCCAGCATCCGGGAGATTGTGGATTTGACTACCACGGTTGACTGCACACACAGCAGTTGAAAAGAGTACTGTTCACTTGCTAAGCTTGCATCATTGGTACAGCCAGTGACTTAAAGCTGCCTATTCTTGGTGCGCGCAAAAAATCTAATTGTAGTTGTCGCAAAGTGTAGCAGTTTTTGTGGACGTATTTCCTTCAATGCCTGTATAGTACCCATTTCCAAGTCTGTAAATTGGCCCCGAGCTTGTTGACAGGAAATGACGGTATAAGGGGGGGGGGGGGTAATATGTATCTTTAATTTATTCTGGTGAAATAAATCAGTTTGATTTGGGGCGTAACCATATGTTCAATAATTTTCAGACATTTGGCCAAGACTATTGAAGAAAGAGAAGGATTTCAGCTTGTTGTAGAAGTAAGTGTTTGTGCATGTGATGTTTTATATGTGGGTGTTTATATATACACACATATATATATATATGCATAGAATTTCCAACGTAGGTTGGTAGATTAATATTACTCAAACGTGTAGCTATTATTTACATTTTAAAATGGCCACAAATGTAACGTTTGATGGTGTTATTACATTTATTTGTGACTATAGTATATCAATGTTCAAATTTTTACCCAAACAAAAAATAAACTATAGATGATTTGTTTTCTTTTACTTTCACGATGTGGTTTCATGTGGTACTTTTCACCAGAAAAAACGGGTCAAATATTTATATAAATAGAGATTTTCGAGTCGAGCCAATTTATGTGATAAAATGAAATCATATCTAAAAATCGATTCGTTACTATGGTGAAAAAATAATACGTTTTAATAAGTTGGGTACTTAAAATTAACAAGAATTTAGAAAATTCTAAAAACAAAATTATTGTTTGTAAATAATGCTTTAATATTGATTTCTATAGCAATGTCAATTTTTGCATTTTCTCTAACAATTGTACAAATAAGACAAGTTAATAACAAATAAAATGTGTGCTAATTGTTTCGCCCCATTTATTAAATATGATTGCTTTCAGTTTAACGTAACGTGGGGTGTTGTTTTAGAATTCCCGTACGGCAACCCGACTAACATAGACTGCCTTATTCAATCCTACATGAGTACTATGGGTCGCGTGGGACAGCAAAATACGTTCTTTAGAATTACTATAAGAAGTAATCGTAAGGAAATATTGCCTTATTCAATCCTACATGAGTACTATGGGTCGCGTGGGACAGCAAAATACGTTCTTTAGAATTACTATAAGAAGTAATCGTATAGAAATATTGCCTTATTCAATCCTACATGAGTACTATGGGTCGCGTGGGACAGCAAAATACGTTCTTTAGAATTACTATAAGAAGTAATCGTAAGGAAATATTGCCTTATTCAATCCTACATGAGTACTATGGGTCGCGTGGGACAGCAAAATACGTTCTTTAGAATTACTATAAGAAGTAATCGTAAGGAAATATTGCCTTATTCAATCCTACATGAGTACTATGGGTCGCGTGGGACAGCAAAATACGTTCTTTAGAATTACTATAAGAAGTAATCGTAAGGAAATATTGCCTTATTCAATCCTACATGAGTACTATGGGTCGCGTGGGACAGCAAAATACGTTCTTTAGAATTACTATATGAAGTAATCGCAAGGAAATATTGCCTTATTGAATCCTACATGAGTACTATGGGTCGCGTGGGACAGCAAAATACGTTCTTTAGAATTACTATAAGAAGTAATCGTAAGAAAATATTGCAACAGCAACTGCAAAGGCATACAATTGTGGCTCTACATGGTCTCACAAAAGTGAATATCTAGAAACTAAAAAGCATCTCTGAGAGAACACTCAAAATTCGAGTTAGATGACTTCTTGCGACCCAAGGGGTCTAATATGGCGCGTAGCTCGTTCAATAACATTGTATATTGCAATAAACGTTTAGATTTGACAACAAAGATTTGTTATTTAGTGTATGATGTAAATCTTACGTCATTGTATGTCTTTACAGCCTACTTGTACCAATGTTTGTTTCTGGTATATACCTCCATGCCTTAGAAATATGAATAAAGACTCCAATGAATTCAATACATTGCTAGGAAAGGTGAGAAACGTATTTTATTTAATCATTGTGTTTCGTGGACAAGGTATACTGCAACGCATTCTGTGTACGTCTTGCTCACCTTGCTGGTCCAACAGAGTACCTCAATACGAATGCTGGCACTGTTTCCCGCGATGCATCATGGGAAATGATCTACACTGTATACAATCGAACAACGGAGTGTATATTTGCTCACGCACACACACAGTACGAGTTTAATAAATAAAGTACATGCGCTATCAATAAAATGACTGCCCGTTGATGCTGTTACGAACGCGTTCGTTGTCACTAGTCTGAGATACACATAAAGTATATGAAAATATTCCATCTGACTAAATGTGCAGTCACGTGAGTGATTACTACCAAAGTACACAACATATAATAACAGATATAACCGAGCTTCTACGACGGCCCGACTGCCGGTTTCCGGTAGTTTGGTTTGCCCTTCTACCCTCAAACAACGTGCACTTTTATCGACCCCCCAAGTCACATGGACGCCGTACCGTACTTCCACAACAATTGTTTGATGGTATTTTTTTCAACTCTAGGTGGCGCCTATTGTCAAGGAGAGAATGCTGAAAGGAGGTACACTTATGATAGGATACCAACCATTAGATGACAAACCTAATTTCTTTCGTCAAATTTTTAGTAATGCAAAGACGACCTTCCAAGACGTAGAATTCATTGTAGATGAAATAGATCGCCTTGGTGACGACATCACAATATCTGACTTGGGAAAGAATAAATAAAAGACAGAAGATGCCTATGGATGCTTTCAGTATAAAGCCAAAGAGCAGCTATTGTAAAGAGGGTCGGCAAGGAGTATTTTCTTAAGCTGTAATCAATTGTAATTTTTGTAATAATGTAATTTAAGTAAATAAAAACGTGAATTCGTATACATGGACAAGATGTAAATGTAATCCGTAATTTGTATAAAGATATTATTTTTTGTAAGCGTATAAATAAAGCATTTTCCAAATTAAATGTCGTAATTCGTACGTAATTTCCAATTTTGATTCTTAAACACAAATTATCAATTATATTATAAAAATGTGAAACGTAATTAGGAATTTGCTTTATCTCTGAAGTGTTAACAAATATTTTTTACTGTAAATGGAACTTTCTTTTTTATTTCCTGTAAAAACGTAAAATGCATTTTGTATTTCACTGTTTGAATGTTGACAGAATGAGTTGATATGTGATTCGCATTATAACAGCCTTAGTGACATTGTTTGTATTTGTTACGGGGGTTCACAAAAGCGATATTATAATGTTGTTTTATTCATTTATACAAGAAGTGTTTAAAGAATCAGTGTATATGCTTTGAGCGGTCACGATAACTTCTACTTATTTGAACCAATAATTGTTCCTTAATTGTCACAGGTCTTCTTTTCAAATTACTAATGATTCCAATACATTGTATTTTAGAGATTTTTTTATTGAAAACTATAAAAAAAATCAAAAAAACAACAACAACCACATTTTAAATGTTGTCTCGAACTACAAATAAAGCTGCTAAGCAGCGGTATGGCAGGAAATGTTGATGTTTGTATCAACAAATTGTGCAGGCAATCACCTTTAAACAACATTAAATCATAGGGGGCGCTGTACATGGTTACAAAACACTTATAATGAACGGTTTGGATTCAACACGTTTAAAAAACTGTAACGCCGCATGTGTGTGTTGAGAACTTGCCGCGATTGTTATGAAAACGGAATCTGTGATATTCTCTGAATTCACCGGCATAGACTGGAATGAAGTTCAAGTTGAGAGTCAGTGGCAGTTCTAAGTGTTCTAAGTTTGAAACAATTTAAATACAAGTTCAACAGGGTTTGTAAGAAATGTTAATAGTTGTCATGGTAATATGACATTTTGCACTTCTATGTTCACCCTGGCCTTTTTGTCAAGGAGTCTATAAACTTTTCATAATTACCCTTCGCCAATCTTTGCAGTATTCGAGTTGACTTATTTACATACGCCCCAACATTACTCTATAGAAATGAGTATCGATTGTCTAAACATTGGCAAATCATCATCATTGACAAGTTCAATAATTTCATTTTCTTCACTTATATCCGAGTTGAAAGATTTTTTATAACATCGCTGACTGCGGTGACTGGGACTTACAACTTCTGACATCCCACTTTCGTCACTGAATTCTGACGTCACAGACGGTCTGGTAGTCGCCGTGCTCCTCGGACCTTTTCGTGGTTTATGCAAAGGACTGCTTACAGTTGATTCCCTTGATGACGTCACTTGTGATGTCGACGACGCCATTCCTGAGTCAATTTCGTCCAATAATCGTGTTTCCCCGAATATGTCAAAATCGGCATCGTCCAGCCTAGAAAGATTGCCCAATCTGAATTCCACGCACGAGGCAGTGAGGCGAGCATCCGGGTCGTCATCCCAACAATCGACCATTGTATCGACCAAAGAACGCATCCCCTGAAATCAACAATGATTAACTGAGCATTGGCAAATAGTAACACTATGTTAAAAATGACGTCACGTTATGCATATGTAATTATCATGGTCGGGATAACAAGCACAAATATTGGCTCACCTTGTGTTCATTCCATGAGGCCGGCACGTCTGGTCTTCTCTTGTCGCGTATCAACACGCCTTTCATCATTTCAATCGAGGGGTTGCTAGGCACGTGATCACTGTATGGAAGTTTATAGTCTCCCATCGCTGTAAATAAATACACTAAGTAATTAATCTGAATACGTGAAGTATATTATATGCAATTAAAGTTGCATTTACGTGGCGTCCCCCAATTTAGGTTCCCTTGACGTCCTTAGTAACTCACACAACTACGTTAACTGTCAACCCACACTTATCCAATCCGACACCCCGGGCCGACACCGACCCAACCCGACCAGTTCCAACCCAACTCGATCCACAAATAAATGGTAATGCTACTAACAAAATGCAATTACTCACTTGACGAGATGGAACATCGTGACATCATTTCCCATATGATCAATGCAACAGAATACATATCGCAATGTTTAAAAGACTCAATATCAGCCAAATTAATCTTGCAGTCCAGCGCCTCGGGCGACATATATCGAGGTGTTCCCACCTGAAACAAAACACCATGCATTAACTTTTATCGTATGGCAACAACTCAAGGTAATATGATTGATAAACATGATTCGGTCCGAAAAATAACAATCAATAAACTAAAGTATTGGTATTGTTTTATTTTTTTAATCAAATGAAAATAAATGCTATTTTATTTGCTGCAAGGAATATTGCCAATTTACGATACGGTATAACGTGTAGTAACAAACAACAATATTAAATAGTACGTTCCCATATTGAATGTTGCATGGTCTTCGTCGACTACGTGTTTTAAATTATGGAGGACGCGGCACCAGGCATTAAGCTCTCTAAAAACAAAAACAAAACAAAGCAAACGATTTTCACCATGAAGAAAATTCCTACCTGTCCCATATTAGCAAGTTCGTCAATTGAAGTGAGTGGGTCCAATTTCATGGCCAGTCCGAAGTCAGCAATAGCACATGTCCCGTCACATTTCACTAAAACATTGGAACTTTTCATATCCCTGTGTGCGACAGGAATTTTTGGAATATAATCCTGCCCTGTCGAGTACGAATGCAATTGTGCTAAACCTGACATCAGCGTTTTACCCATAGTGCAAAGTTCATTCCAAGAAATGACGTATTTCGTTAGATAATCGCGGAGTGATCCGTGTTCGTGGTAGGCAGTGATTATCCAATGTTGTTGTGGGGTTCCGTTTATATTTTCACGACTTGTGATGTACTCCAAAATGTGGGAATGTCTCAGTGAAACTCTTAAGTCTGTGTAAAATTCTGTTTCTTGAGCCCAACTTTTGTATTGGTCTGGGGAAAAGATCTTGACCGCGACGGGCCTCTGAATACCGTCTTTAACCATACTGCCTTTCCATATCTGTGCAAATTGTCCCCGGGCAAGCAGCCCGTCCAGTTGCACTGATAAATTATCATTCGAGTCTTTCTCAGATTCATGTGGCAGCAGGTCAGACATTAGGACGGATTCATAAATAGCACTTTTAGACCCCGAATTCACAAAGTTAACCACGCTGCGCATGTCTGCACTGGCACTGCCTTTCCGAAAGGCCTGTTTTGCTTCCTCATATTTCTCTTTCTCTTTTCGCTGTTTTCTTTTGTGAGTACAGCACACGATAGTTGCCAGGACACTAAATATGATGATGGGGACTGCAATGGAGAAAGTTATGGCAATGATGTAGTTGTTAGTAAGCCGATTTGTCGGTGGCAACGGAGAGGTCACAGCGGGCTCCAATATACTTTCACCAGAACTCGACACGAAAAGTAACACAAAAAATAGCCATTTTGATTAATT